TTGCTAAGCAGAAGAGATTAGTGTAGAATCCCTTAGTAATCGATTCCATCTTTTGTCGGAAAGATGAAGCTGTTCTGCAACTGATATTGACTACCAGTCGCTCGAGATGTGATGCAGTCAGTTCCAGCCTCAGTGCTCTTCTCCTCTCTAGCAGATCCTTGGTGGCTTTCGAAATTCGTTCGAATTTTCTTGTGCGAGGCATTGAGGCACTTTCACCACAAGCTCTCTGTCCTCTAAGAAGCAGGTCGTAGTCTTTTGTCAGATCCTTCTCATGAGCCAGTCACAAGTGATCAGGAGCTCCTCCAGTCTGATAACGTCATATACGTCTTCTCTCCTTCCTTCAACACGGTGACAGATCTTCTTTTCCAGCTTGCTAAATCGCACTTTTGCTCGAAGGAGGCGGAGATCTGAGCCACTAGTGAAGGATGGTACTTAAGACGTCCAGTAAGCACCACCTTCGGTTGGTGAGAATGTGGTCGATCTCCGCAAGAGTCGTACCGTTGGTGACTTCCCAACCGCCGGTCTTCTTTTTTCATGAAGATGGAGTTGCCATGAAGAAGTCGTGCTGCGGATAAAAGCCCAACAAGACGGTTACCACTCTCATTCCGGAGTCCTGATCCAAATCTCCCGATCCTGTGATCCCCTTCTTTTGGCATCCCAATTTTCGCATTGAAGTCACCCACGACGAACTTATAGAAGGAATTTTTTTGCGGTTGACTTCCTTCAAATCCTCATAAAAAGCACCAAGTTCCGAATCATCAACTGCTGATGTTGGAGAAAGCAGTTGATGATAGTGATGACTTTCTGATGCAGAGAATCAGATGCAGGAATCGAAGGATAGCCAGGCAAAGTGATAGATCTCATGCGAATCGACAAGATGAACACAGATGGGTGCACGACAAATCCAACGCCTCCAACGTTCCGTGATGACCTTCTCACCACGAATGATGAGTGTGCCATCACTCAGCTGCCTCACGTCCGTCTTATTGGATTTTGATTCCTGCAAGGCGATTACGTAGTAGTTGATGCGCCCTGCAGTTTCGAGAAGGGCGTGAAGATCTGCGTTGGTGGAGACTGTCCTGGCGTTGTAGGTGCAGAGCATGAGGCAATCTCCATGACGAGTCGTTAACGTGTCCTTTTGGTACAAACTCCACTACATCCTGTGCAAACTGACACTGGTCTTGATGACCGACCCTAGATGTGATCCAGTGCGCAGAGCTTTTTTCTCTTACATGCTGTACAGGCAAGGAAAACGACCTCTCCCCAAACATTAGCAGTGCCTTGCCAGGACCCTGCTAAGCTTAAACCACAGACAATCTGACCTTATGTGGATCAGGGAGCCACCTAGCGATTGAATCAGTCAGACGATGGTGGGGCATGGCCTACTCTTAGCTGGGCATCCGGAGAACCGGAAGCGTCGAACTCCTTCTCACCTTGGGAGCCCCTGCTGGAGGATAACCTCCGCAATATTTCGCAGTTCGACACTCAGAGTCACCCCTGCGCCACGATGAGGCGGTAGACCATCACGGGGTTTATTGCCAATGGGACAAAGAAAGCTCTAAAATGCAAACATACTTTGTGGATAATTTGATATTTAAGCCCATATATTAGCCATTTGATACAGTGGTGCCGAAGTTACGGCTTCACACCAAAAAAACTTAGTTCAGGGCAGCCCTCCAAAATAAATCATTAAGGCCTAGAGAAGTTTCCGAGAAATTTGTTTGCGATATAAAATGATCACATTTTTGGTACACCCTGTTATATCGCATACTTCTGCAGTTTT